TGAAACCCTGAAAAGTACTTTTTCCCTTCCTGTCCCAAAACCCTAATTCGCATCAGACTGCATCTTTTAAAAATTTTTGCTTGACTTCTCAGTCATGTTTTTTAAGGTAACCTAGCCCCTCTGTGGTGTCAGTTCTCTTAACTCAATGCCAGGAAATAATTCAAGAAGGGAACAGGGAAAGTTATCTGAGACAAACCAGATCCTTCACCATCCTTTTACAATCACACCCACTCATTAATCATTCCAGATATACAGAATCAGCTTAAAGAGAGCACAAAACAGTGAAACATTGATCACTCAGTCAATTGACTCTTGATCTGTGTGCTTCCATGTGTTCTATAGGCAAGAGTCACTGAAACACTAGGAAAACATTTTATTTCAGACATACAAAAATCAGTGAAATCAGTGAAACGGTGACACAGTTTGATGTTTTTATGACAGGTGAATTACTCTAGAGTTATATACAGAATGAGAGCCAACCTTGGGACAAATAAACAACATCCAGGAATACATCAATAACAGCTTCATAAACAGCTCACTATATATGTACTCTAATCAAAGCACTGGGACTCAAAACTTCAAGGTTTTCAGCCACAAATTCAATTTTCAAGCTTATTCTCGTCCCTCTAAAGTTAATAAAATGAACAATTTCTGGAAGTCATTTTTCAACTCTCACATTATAAGCAGCAAATTCTTACACAGAAGAAGGCTTCTGCAAAAGCTGCAAACCATTCACAGAGACTCTAGATACATATGAGATATAAAAAGCTCTCAGTGACCTTTTGACAAAGCTTTGTCTAGCATGCTACTCTAAAGGGAAAAGTGCAATTTTCCTCTAACTGTACCTTCACATATATTTTCTGAGATCAAGTTATAGTTGAATTGCCATGTTATGGTATTTTCAATTTTCTTCATACATTTTTACAACATACTCACTTCAGCAGTATTTACCATCATCACTCCCACCAGCCAAGGCTGTCTGCATAATGTGTTATTTGCCAAGAACCTGTTACTTGAAAGGAAGACCTCTTCTGTCTGCACAGCAGATTTGTAGGTGGAGAAAAGGAGCCTTGCAGAGGGAAAAGTGGAGGGAACCAACCTAATCACATACACATGATCCATAAATACCTAAGTAACGATGGAGCAGAAAATGCACCAGGCATCCTTCTCTAATGGGACTCAACCACATTCATAAGACACTTTCTTCAGGTGTGATAAGAAGAAATTGACAGTGTGCAATTTCAACTAATTTGTTGTGAAAGGATTGTCATAAAGCTCCCCCAAGGGCTGAAACCCTAACTGTAGATGGACCTACGCAGAATTTGTGCTATCACACATAACACACACCTAAGTGCTTCCAGCCCTGCTGAACTGCTGGAGGAGTGATACAAATCACTACAACACTTAAAGGCTACCCTCAGGAAGATCGGAGGAATACAGGTCTGCAGGGAGAAATGCCAAGAACTGCACTATAAATAGCATGTCTGGATATACCTATATTTTAACTTCACAACTCCTTTAAAGCTACTGAACGTTCTTAAGCAACACAGTCTAACATATAGAGAATATACAGAACACAACTGTTGATTCGTTGCCCAAAAAATGGCACATGGAGAGAGGTTCCACATGACATGTTCTTAGTTTGTTCCTATCCCATATCTCAGTTGCCCTCCTAGAGACTGGAACAAGGGAGATGCTTCTTCCTTCCACAGACAACATGGAGCTGGGAAGGGCCATCATTGGCCACATGTTGGAAACAAATATGTCCATGGCCAAAACAGAAAAAGGTTCTGAACCAAATTAGGATATAATTTGGCAAAGGACATGTGCACAAACACAAAGATGAAGGCTGCTTATTAGACTGCAATCCACTGGAAAGGATCTGATGGTCAACACAGATCAACAAATTGAACATGAAATCAGCATGCTGTTGATGACACACAAAGGGTAATCACCTTTGTAGCAACACTCAGTCTAACTCTGACCACAGTTTTCTTACAGCAGGCTTCAGGATAGCCAACTCTATCTAAACAGCTATCACTTCAAACAACTCAGCAGCCAGTAATGAACCATGGACATTTATTCTACTCAAATGTTTGTTTCCTTTACATTGTTAACATTTAGAGTAATACTGAATGTAAGGTACAGTGACAGATGTGCCGGTGATTTACTGGAGGAAAGAGAGGACATGGAAGACACAATTTCTAGTTTAGGGGGGAAAAAAGCACTTCTGTATCTGAGGAAGAGAAATAAGCATTAAGTTAATTAAGAAGAATTCCAAAACTGTGCTCTGAATAAAGAAGGAATAAAATGAGTTTTGGAGTGAGATAATAAATTTCTTCTCACATCCCAGAAGTCTTGAAAAGAAAGACCACATATAAAAACTACAATGTTCCCCTCAAGAGACATATTCAAGTCAATCCCCAGGAATCTGAACCTCAGGCTTACTTCAGAAAAGGGTGCCTGAATGTGAATTCTTAGGCAATCCCAGTCAGACTCTCTTTAGCAGCAGCAGTTTGCTAAGGGAGACTTTCACAAATCCCGAGACCTCAACTGCTACCATGGAACCCATGTATTTCTCTCGGAGTAAGTTAGATTTATGCTTGTGTAAGTAGACTAAGTACAGATTTTGCTTCATTTCTTCACCCATGTTTTACAAATATGTGATTATGTTATTATATTTAGATATTACAAACAATACTTTTACTTCTAGTTTACCTTATCCTGTCTTAGGATGGCCCAGGTAACCAGCACGGACTCTGAAATGACCACACATAAAGAAGGTGCTTTCTTTTCCTCTCATTACACAGTTCAGATTCTGTCACTGAAGGAACTGGACAGGACCCGAGCGTACCCAGGGACTCACAGGAACTGAAGAGGCTCTCTGATGTGCAATAGGTTACCAGAGTGCATGCTTATCCCTTGTAGCTATTGGGGTCTGCTGGTGTCTACGTCACATGCAGACTTCCTGCTGACTACTTCCTACACAGAAGGTGTCCTTGCTTACTCCCCACCCATGGGGAGCAGGCCATGGGCTCTGAAACCTTTGCATTATTTCAAAGGCAGAAGCAAGCAGGGTAATATTATAATTATTATTGAAATGTGAGAATCTAAAATATTTGGAACTTGCACATTTTGTTCAGAATTCTTGAAATGATATTTGAGATCTAAATGCAAACACATTGCATTAAATATGTTGTACTGGTCTTGGTATTTTAATTTCCACTGTGTTTACATTCATGTTCAATACAGAAAAACTTCAGCCTTATTTCACAGATCCAAGTAGTACTTCCAGCCAACTGACAAATGAGTTAGTGGAAACACACTGAAGTGCTAATGTCTTTTTTACTGTACTTTACAAAGAAATATAAAAATGTGAAAACAATACTAAACTAACAGTTCCTTTAGTTTCTGAACCTTAAAAAGAATCCTCTGTTCTTTCTCTTACATTGTTGCATTTGTCTAGGGATTGGACAGGGAAAAATGTCAATTACTGTCAGAGAAGAATTAAAACCTCAGTTGTGCCTTATGCTCAGTGCAAAATCCCAAAGATAAATACAAAATAATCTTCAGAAAAAAGTGATTTGTAACAAGTCTGTCTGGGGAAAGAACTGAAAATAATCTCACACTAAAATTCTGCTGCTGAGAACTCCATTCAAGAAAAGCAATTGTGAATGTTAGGTAAATGACTAAGTAGATATGACTTTTATCACAATAACATGTCAGAGTAATTGAACGTGTGTTAAGGCAATTCAATCTTCTCAGTGATATAGAACTGAAACTTGAAAAGCAAAACTGTAAGTTACACTTCTGTAAGACTTAAGAGTGGTACGTGAAATATCTTTCATCTTATAGCAGGTTGCAATATCTCCCATTCTCAAAAGGAGCACTTTAGGTGATAATACTTTAGGATGTATTTTGGATCATTAAATAACATTTGGATGCCAGCTTCTAAAACTATTACATTAATAAAGCTATTTTTTCTCCCATGAATAACATTAACAATGTAGAATAACCTTTTCATTAAATATTAGAATTTTATATTTTTCCCCTATGTCAGTTTATTTCAGCTACTCAGCATTGGATCTGTTTGAAAAACAAAAAGGATGCACTTGGCAACACCCAGGATAAACACACTATGATGATTCACACATGCTTGCAAGGTGTATGTTTCTCCTACAAAAATATTTAAGTTATACACATCTTTGCTTGTCTGTGTGAGACATTTTAATTGTACTTCCACGAGGTCTTGAGCTATGAACTAGATGTGTATTGACTGAGTCTGGAGGGATTGTCTTCCAAATTCTAAATACATTCACACTTATTTAAATCTTTCGTCTAGTTTCCAAAAGGCTAAAGAAATAACAATGCCAAAACACTATTTAAGTGTGACTTACACAAAATCAATACTTTTTTCTCTATCACTGGAAAAACAAAAGCAGAAAACTATGCTAAAATCATACTCCATCACCTTTAAACAATGGAGCCATTGCTTAATCAATGTTCTCTTATCTTTGCTTTCCAACAGATAAAGGCTTTAACATGTTAGGTAGTGTATGTTTTTCATAATGTTGAATTCAAAGCTTCCTGAAATCAAATGTTTCCTTTATGAGGGCTCCGGTAGACTTGAACACATCCAAGTAAAACATTTATATAACACTGTACTCAACTACCTCCCTCACCTCTTCCCTTTCCTCTTCTCTCAGGGCCCTGCTTCTTTTTGAAATAATGTCACCACTGGGCTGAAAGCAAACTAAATTTAAACACTAATACCTAAGCTATCTACAAGTGCCGTTAGAAACAACATAACTCTTTGGTCTATATTTTAGTATCAGAGTGGAAAATTTAATAAACAGATTCTCTCTGGCCATAACAGAAACCAAATACTGCTCCTCTAGAGTTTTGCTTAAAAGAATACTTAAAAAAATGAACATCAAAAAAAATACTAATGCAAAGCAAATCAAATATCAGAACCCGAGTTCAGAGAAGGTTGTACTTACTCCTTATTTCTGCATTTTATGCATGGCTGGTAAAGGACTTTGACAGCATTCCAGGTCCCCAATGGTCCAGAGCTAGGCATGAAAATATCTCCAAACGGTGTAAGGACACTTAGAGAGGAGGAACTTCCTAAAGACTCCACCAGCAATGTGTCAGAATTTAAAAGCCATATCTATAAATGAAGAAATAATTTATTTTACTGTAGATTATATCAATTTCAACTTGTTACTTTACTCGGACTCTAAATCATCTGATACTAAAGCTACATTCTTACAAAGTTTCCAACAATGTATTAACAGACATAAATTGACATTTTATTATTCAGCACGGTCTACACAGCCTTTAGCGGAGAAAGAAGGATTAATACAATGAACTGATGCCTGATTTATCACAGTCACTCTCAAGATCATTTCTGTGAAGCTGCCTCTTTTAGTGACTTTAGCACATTTCCTTTGATAGTAATAAAACAGTCCCAAGTTATCTCCTTCAGTACCAGATGGGATTCTTTCTCCAATTTCTTTTTTTTTTTTTTTTTTTTTTTTTTTTTTTTTTTTTTTTTTTTTTTTTTTTTTTTTTTTTTTGGTGGAGGTGGTCAAGCATATGGTGTTGAGCAATTGAGCGCTAAAGACAGGGAACTGAAAGACTGCTCACTGGAAGTGCCAAAAATTGAGGATTTTTATAAGTGGTAGTCATGACTAGATGAAGTTATGACATGCAAGGAAGAAGACAGCAATTAACATGGTCTAAAAGGAACGCTGAGATTTACAAACAGCTGTAACAAACTCTAACTTGGAAAATAAATCTTTATGAAATTTCAAAATGGGACTGGTATTCTTCAGCACTATTTCCTCCCAGCAATTCAGGGGATATTCACTGGAGTGAGTTTTGAGAAATCTGAACTTTTTGCATCACATTAAGGATCTTATTTAATCTTTGTGTGATTGGGCATCAGTGTTCTCTGACTTAGAACCAGGGCTTTCATGCTAAACACTTGACAAAAAAAGTCAGGCTTTTCCTTTATTCACAGCCTGCAGCAGCGAAGTGATATGAGTTAACAATGGAAATCAATTTTTGCAAGTGCAGAGCCTGTATGAAATGTTTATATATGAAATATTTATCATAGAAAACAGGATTTATGCAGTGCTGCTCACCAGAGAGCAATCTTCTGCTCCTCATGATCTAATCAGCTTCAAGTAAAACAAGTTACATGATGTTAGGTAGCAGACACATGATATCCCCTGGTGGAGGGAAAAAGCCACCATTAACAGGACACATAGTATATGTTGTAATTGAATGTGACAGTCACAATTTATCAGAGCCCAAGGCTCAGAACATTACAGTGGAAGCTTCATGAAGAAGGAATGAGATATATTGATAAAGATATCTTGGGAGGGATGGGGGGAGGAGAATCACTTTAGCATATGCACATAAATGATGACAAGCAATTGCATTTGGCTTAGCAAGTGGCTGTTCATCAGTTTTGCTCTGGTAACTCAGTGTACACATTTATAGCCTAAAGTGCAAAATATACCTCATTAGCTGGGACCATTACACAAGGTGCTTTAAGCCAAGTGCTGAGGAGGTGCTCGAGACAATGGTGAAAAAGAGAAGTGCCCTATACACACAGGCCACTGTGAACACTTTTAGTTTTAACGAAACAGAATTTCTTCCTTTTGAAATTACTATCAACTCCCTGTGAAGGAGCTTCCTGGGATGCCTTTCAGAAGGGTGCTTCAAACTAGTCTAGGGAACAATGCAGCCAATAGCTGTCTACTCCTTTCAGAATCCTTCTGCAATTTGCCTTAGAGAAAGCAACCGAAGCATTTCATTTGCAACATGGTTCCATCTGACAAGCACTTCTCTCCACCACAAATGCTGACATGTGGCATCTGACAATCACATTCTACCACTTGATCAGAGCACGTCTTTGTCTCAACAGCAATGTAACAGGTCCGTATTAAAAATTTAGCACACAATACAGAGAAAGAAGATGAATCTTTGGGGGTGGAAAGACTCCTGGCCATGAGAAAATCAACTTCTGAACTACATTTACTGCTTTTGGCAGTATTTTCATTCTTTTCCTCATGCATGAATTAATTTTGATCTTGCCTTCGGTCTCAATGAACAACCACTCACTCAGACTCAGTGCGTTGACTCATAGTAGTTTATATGTTATTTCTGGCTAAGGCAGTTTTATATTTTGATCTGTGCTTTCTACTACATTACTCCCAATTGCAAGCTTTCCTTCCTTTCTACCACTTTGTACAGCACAGCTTGTGCAACCGACTTCCCTTCATATTAACTGCAGTAAGTAAAGAACCTTTACAGAAAGATAAATACATGAAGTCTAGAATTCATTCATAGTGCAATTAATGACCTTTTCTGAAATGACAGCATAAGAAGAAAGTATTTGGGGTTTTGTTGGTCTTTTTTTCATTGCTTTCTTTCACTTTTAATCACTTTGTCAATAGACCTCAAAGACATTCTTAGCTACGACAAATCTATCTCAGTTATACTTTGTGGTACTCAATCCAGGTGAAATACTACAATTTAGTGGACAATTAGGCATCAATTCAAACTTAAAATGGGTTAAAAAAAAGCCTTTATTTTTCCATGCTAGTTCTTTCATAGTTACTGTGCAGGCATTACTATTACTTTTATCATCACACAGGTCACTAACGCAAACATCTTTCATTGCAGCTACTTTGTCCTCACATTCAGACTCTTCAGGTAAAGATGTGGTTTCCACATATTTCACAAAGAGTAAAGGTCTCTAAGAGGACTGGGTAGCTAAGTCTCAAGAAGGTTCTCATTAACTCAGTTCTTGATCACTGCAACATCCACCCCTTCTCCAATCTTAACAAATGCAATCTTGTTTTGCACGTGCCCTTCAAGACATGGCCCAACAATCAGCTCTCTCCCATTTTGTTACACATTAAATTTCTCGGGATATCTTCCAACTCCCTCTCCAATCACTCCTGATATACAAGCTGCCTTACTTTCAAGGCACTTTACACTCCAAAAAAGGTTTTTCATTCAGTCCTGAAAGACTGGAGATAGTATTCACTCTACCACACACTTTTTGATTTTCATAGATGTATGTTTTTGGGTTTTATCAGGTTGATCCCATCCATTATATGAATTCCCTGTATCTATTCAGAAAGCTACTTATTTACTTCTTTCAAAGCTATACTTTTTTACAGTACAGAAAAAAAAGACATCTATTAAGATGCTGCTATGCTGACCAATAATGCACCATTTTGCTCAAGCTCTCCTATCTCACTGTCCATTTGCTGTCTTCCTCTTATTCTTAGCTTGTAAGTTATGCAAGGTAGGGAACACTTCAACAGTTGAGCAAAGAGAGGAGGCAAGTGATTCAACTTTTATAGAATGTGGAGAGGGCAGAGATACAATTAGGATAAATAAGGAAAACTTTATGCACCACTTTTTTTTTTTTCCTGAGACAAAGAGACTTATTTGTTGACATCCTTTAAAAAAACTCTAACATAAGTAGCATATACCTTGAATTACAGAATAACTTAAACAACAGAAACTCATATTATGATATCTGCAAATAAAATAACTGTTAATGTTAAGTGATACATACAGAGGAAACAAGGAAATCGAGTGCACATGATATTTGTGGTTTAAAAAAAAGTTAAACATACTCGTGAGAAACCTTAACTCTAATTATCACATACACACCCTAAGCTGTGTGCATTCATGTATGTAAGCACAAACACTGTGAGCTACAATCTTTGGCTCATTATCAAAACAAACAAGTGGGACAGCTGGTTCATGATGCATCAGTGATGAGACTCCTTGTGTAAGTTGGCTGTATACTCACAGCCTCAAGCACCTACTTTTTTACTGTTCAGCTGTTGACAATCTTTAATACAAACAGTGCTTGAATTATACTTGCGTCCACAAGGCCTGTGAGCCCTGAGACTTAACCCACAACTCCAGAACACCTGTTGATGTGTATACAGTTGCCAGAACCTAACTCCAGACGTGAGTAAGGGCTTTCTGATGTTAAACACAAAGAACACCCCCAAAAAAATAGTAACTAACTAATAAAAAGGAAGAGGTGCCAATTAGAAGCCAGCCCCTATCTAATTCAGCCTGCTCCTGTAATCAATACATCAGCAAAAATGAGACTTTGAGCTAAGAGTAATGGCAATCTACTAAACAAAGTGATTTTTCTGTTAGAAAATATCCAGTTTGCTCTATGTAAGCTACTAGACTTAAGCAGCAGAATTTTAGGTAACTTGGAAACACATAAGCTACAAAGGAAAAACAACAACTTTTAATGGCTCCTCAATTAGATAATACATAGTGACAATTACAGGTCTGCTCATGATACCTTAATTTTGCCATTACAAAAGAGGTATTTCTCAGTGGTTGTACAAATGTTATCTTTGCACTAAAATGTATTTAAAAGCAAGAGATACACACTTTCTTCAGCATCTGGGTGTTCAGAAATCACAGAACTCAGACAATGTATATATAAAACAATTTATGTAATCAGATTGTCTGCCTCAAGGAAGTGCATCTATAAGTTTATCCAGGACATGAATCTATAATCATGTATTTCTTTATCTTTGTGTCTATGAATTATTTGTATACACTGCAAAAATACAAATTCCATACCTATATTTAGTTCAGGAATAAAAGAAAATATCCTTAGTTATAACAGGTGTATAGTATTAAGATAATTCCTATCTATCTTAAAAGTTTGGGGAATCTAGCTGTCACTATTTAAATATCAAGCTTAACCAAGTTAGCAGCATAAGAACATTAAGTATAATAGGCAATTTTAGTTTTGTTTGCACTTCATTACTACTACATCAGTAGTCCCTGCTGGCTTAAGACAACACATATGAAAGATGCTATGCAATTTGATTCACTTCTGGTGATTTAAGATAAGAAGCACTGGAGCAAGAATATGAGATAAAAGTTAAAATTTAAACTTTCCATGTTTTCTAAATACAAACCAGTGTTACTTCTGGTGTGTTCATAGTACTTTCATTAATGTAACAACAAGAGAAAATTTCTACATGTACATCTACTTACATTAAAGAACTTGGAGATTTCTTGCTTGAACAGAACTCTTCAGAGCTACTTCAAGAATTTGAATTTGTTAATTTTCTTTAAACGTACAATAACAAACAGCACAAATAATAAATTTTAGGAGCTGGGATACACAGGTTAAACTTCTTCAGCAAGATGAAGGTTTAAAAACTTACCAGAATATAGGTTTTTCCATTATCCCCTTTTACAGTGAATCTAAACGTGCTTTTAGCAGAGGATAATTCCACAAGACACTGAGCAACCATGCTCTGCACAAATTGAGACCTGTTTAAGAATGAACCACATATTATATGTTTTCAGAACAGCTATATGGGCAAAGTCATTCATATCAATGCACTACAGATATTTGAGTATCTCCATACTGTCAATTTCACTACAGCCTACAATTTTTTATTTCCTGCAACAGGAATTTTTTAATAGACCAGCATTCTAAATTGCTCCACATCCTTTATTTGGGCCGACACCAAATGTCAAACGCTGAATAAAAGCCTTCCCTTTGCACATATGAACACAAAGTTCAGAACAATGCACATATTTCAAATATAACTTACATAAAGAAAGAACTGTGACTAATGCATAGTACATGATACAAGACAGATAGACCAGGTTCTGTTTCACCTTAGACTTAATTTCAAACTGAATTGCTTGAAATTTCAAAAATTTCCAGTTCCAATTCAATATTTCAAATTTTACTTAATTTAACTTTACATTATGTAACCTTCCATTTCCATAATTAGTCACCAGACATCATGCAAGCTTAAGTAGTTCAAAAAATAGGTATTTCATTTTGGTTTATCATCTGAATAGTGAGACACTGTGACAAATCATACACAATCTCTCTCCTGTGTCACACACCCACATGAGCAAACAGAACTGTATATAAGTGAATTCAAACTACATTACCTTTACAATGCTTAATTCTGGGGTGATTATGTAGAATTGCACTGTTAATTATATGCAATTATTCAAGAAACTATAAGATTAGAGCATTTCTAGCATCCTTTCTAAAGCATACACGTGAGCAAATTACCTGATTTTGTTTTGTTACCTTGGTATTGGGTTGAAACTTCCCTCAGCTGGCTGAATAATCACCTCGGTGGCATAATATTTAATGGTATCTAAAATGACAAAAACAATTTTGAAGTATAATAGAATAACCAACTTATTAAGATTAGACTATAAGTCAGCCTATCACTAAACTAATTAAACATTTGCTCAGTACTCCATTAAGAAGTGCAGCAGACGGTCAAATTCTGCTTTGGTTTGTAGGAGGTGAAGCAACCATAACAAAAAACCTACCCTGCCTGAAGAAAACTGTTCTGAGCTAATTACATGATCAGCAATTTCTCATTCATATTGATCTTTGTTAACGCTGGGAACAATCACCTTGAAACAAAGCAAGAGCTCAAGCCAAACCTGAAAGACGAATTGAAAGGACTTCCCTAAAGCACTGAGATCAGCATAGCTTACATAAGTATTTTAGTACCCTCTGCTGCTCAGTAATGCTGCAGTGAATCACAAGAGACAGTTTTAATAACAGCACACACAGGGGAATAATTTTCTTCTTTGCTCAAAGAACAGAATGGAACTTCTTTCCAAAAATCACACTTACTCAACACTAGCACTGCATACATTCTGAGTTTCAATGTAACTGCTCATCAAAAGCTTCACTAAGACAGCCTTTACCACTAAATGTAACCTTTCTGAGGACATAATTTAAACCCCATCAATAAAGTCAGGTCAAAGATGATCATACTGAAGATCTGGGTCTATGCTGCAAACACAGCCTGTGAGAGGGCCAGCAAAAGAGGTTAAGTATAGAGAGTAATAAATACATTCTACTAAGCCTTAGCATGTGAAGAGCTGGAAGATTCATCAGTTTCATAAATTTTAAGGGTGAAAGGGATCATCTCATCTGATCTCTGTCCACATATACCATTAAAACTGGATGAAAGTAAGCATTTCAGGAAAACACTTAATGTGTTTTAAAGACTCCAAAGGTTTTGTAATCCAACCCCTTCTCTAGATAAGTACTAGAGTTTTTAAATTATCTTTGCTGTTAGGAAATTATATTTTACCTCTAAGTTTAATTTAGTTTGCTCCACGCTCTGTTAATCCTTGGAGATGGGAGTAAAAGAAAGTTCAGTCCCTTTAGATCCTCATCCATTACCCTGACTAAGGAATTAGTGCTACTGCCACAAGGGTATTGGGAATTCAGGAGATGTTTGCTTGCAGAGAGAGAGAAGGTGTGATTTCCCAAGAAAAAAAATCATACGAGTGTCTGTGGGTAGAGTTGGGGAGAAATTCAAACCCAAATGTGGCCTCCACAGCTATACCACTCTAATCCTGCTTTATCTTCAAGGCGCTGATATCTACTCATGAGGAAGTACCAAACCATGACAGTCAAGTTTGCTCTCTAGTCCCTTCTCAGAGAGATGGTTCTGCCTTGACTTATACATTGCTGGTTAGTTTGTCTGTTCTTTGAACTCTACTTAAATTTCCTACAGTACCACAGAAACATGGTCAAAACAATGGATATATGCTATCTAACTTCAGTTATGTGCAGAGTCCACACTGAATCCATGCACATCTGTACAGTGTTTGCGTTTACCCATTTCCACCAATTATATCAATTACTGGATGCTAAAACCACCTCAAGGCTTAGATTAAGGCATCTATTACTCATGACTTTATTATTCATGCTCTTTTCCAAGCACTGCTTTCCCAAAGTCACATCCTGCTTTGGGGGCTTTCAAACATTGTACCTTAAATTTGGGTTTATTAAAGCCTGTGTTGTTCAGATCCCTGTACGGGACAATCAGAATGTTCTGCACAAAAAACCTTCTGTCTTGCATCACCTCATGACTTACTTCATAACCAGGCTTTACATTTTCTGAGAAGTTTTTATATTCACCAGATCTCTGAACTGAAAGAGGTTCACACTGACTGATGCAGTGGAGTAGAGGGAAAATGAAAGAATGAACCCTGCTACTAACAGTCTTATCATTGCTTCTCTCCTGTTAATAGCTGAATTTTAAAAACGACCAGATACTCATCTTTAGACTGCTTCTGGTAAACCCTGCTGATTCAGTATAATTACACTTCTAAAGCATCATCTCATCTTTAAATGAGACATAACCTGCTTCTTTGACAAGGCTTTCTTCCCACAAAACCAGGCTGACTGTTAGCAACTTCAGCTTCTAGCTGTGTGTTGATTAAGTTCTGAATTAGCTTCTCAATTATTCTGTAGAACTGACAGAAAAATAAAATCCCTCTAATTTCTCAAGGCTCCTTTTTTACTGAGATTCCTAATAAACTGGAATCAAGCACTGAATCTTCCAAAGCTTTGAAATTAGCCAAATATGCTGCAGAAACAAGGATGAGGAAAATCCCAGCTGAAAGTCACTTTCAAGATCTAACAGTGGAATAAACAACCTCATCTGTTCCAGAAGGAAATGGGAAGAACACACAGGAATCAGCCCTGCACCTTACTGATAAAACTACTTTCCTTCTGAGCTTTTAACCTCCAGTGCTTAATGGCTGATGCTGTCAAGTCTAGTTTCGTTTGTACATCTCATACCTGATGATATTGTTTCTCCCAGCATTGTCTTGCAGCGTTTACAAATTACTCTGGTAGTTTCCTTTGATTTCTGTAGGACAAAGAAATATCATTAAATGTCATTTGGATATTCTGAAAAAGGAATGCATAATTGTAACAATCTACAGAGTAGACAGTAAACTTTGTACTTCTTTCTGTTCTCTTTACGTTTGCATGCACACAGATTTGCCTTCATTACTTCAGCTTTCTATAGCTGGATTTGCTTGCAAGTTTCATACTAATTTTAAAATCTGGCAGTATATTCTGACCTCACAGCAAAATAATGCACATGAAATGAAGTACTCCATAATATAGTCATAAAATAGTATGATGCAAAGTGACTACCATTACCCAGTAAAAAGTTCTAACCACTGCGGACAGTTTTATAGGAGTGTAATACCAGTTCAGTGTTCAGCAGATAGCAGAAAATGTCCACAGATTGTTTTGAGTTACTAGAAAACAGCTGAAGAACACAACATAGCATGATATTCCAGAAAGATGCAGTGTATTCTGTTCTTGAGCAATATTTCTTCCTCAATTCAAGCAGAAACAAAAAAGGTATTGACAAAGAATAATTGTCAGAGGCGCAAAACAGTTTCCATACGTGGCAAGAAAACACGTGTAATGGAAGGAAGCACAGAAAACTGAGGGGTATCACTGAGATACATAAAATCACAAATGTTTAGGAAAAGCTGAACAGAAAAGAAACCCACATTTGCTCTCATAGCTCATGCTATGAAATTAGAGAATCACAGCATTCACTAGGTTGGAAAAGACCTCTTGAGACTATCGAGCCTTGTTTGCATCAAAGAAAAGGAAGGTATTTTGTCACACAATGCATAATGTAGTTTGGTTCTCACTATAGGAAAGTATTTTTCATAGTAAAAGTATACACAAGTTCAAAAAGTCTTCAAAAATTCAGAGGAAATGCTCATCAAGGTCTTATTAAAAACAAAAAATGTGGATAACAGTGTCTAGTTCAAGGAGTCTGTACAATCTCCAGAACATAACTCAATACTTGTCTTACTCTTATGTGTCCATTATTGCCCTTTGAAAAAAATCTCATCTTGGCACGATATCTGCCCTATAACGCTCCTGCTAATAACAGTGTTAATACTTAAATTCAGTATCAAACAAGTAAGTGTAACTCCTACTTTGATGCAAAGTCCAAAACTGTTTCTGTGTGGGTTTATTAACCTGGAGGTAGTCTAGTCTGAACGCAGTACATATATATAACACCCATGATGGTCACAAATGAGGAATCAAACTAAATGGCCCACGGAGAGCCCAAGAGCTGACTACGTTGGAACTACAGCCCCCTTGTTATGGAGATCAGAAAAAACATCAGGTTCACGTATATGCAGTTATCCCCTTTCCCAATTCCTACTTTACTACTCCTCTCAAACATACACAGTAAAATTATTTGCTTGATGTGAAAACCAAGGATAAGTTGACAAGGTTTTGTTAAAGCCAATATTTGAGACTGGTACAATTACTGCACAGTACAAGTATAGAATATATACAGTACTTCCTTGAAAGCTACAACTTGAGTATTTTTTTCTGACTACAGTTGCAGATGCTGGCTGAGAATTGTGCAGTACGGTACTAAAAAAAACCCACCACTACCTCACTGGATCATGCTTCAATGGAAAAAGCAACAGTTCTAGCTTCACTAATTAAATCAATATATCTATTTGACAACTTGCAGCTGCTGGCAATCTGCAGGTGGAGGTGGATCACAAGCCTAATATTTTCTGTTTCTATTCCTAAGGATCCCTGATATGGTGTCAGGGAAAAACAGTTTCCCCAAGAGATACTATTAGGATGCTGCAATACCATGTGACATTTAAAAACTATGTTACACTGAGAGACTAATAGATGTGAAAAATATGTTTGCAGTGGACGGATGCTGTCTTGGTCCCACTGGAGCCTGGAAAACATTGTTTAAGCATCTCTGGTACATTCCTGCTACTATTTTGGTCATAGTCAAACACTTCCCAAAGAACTGCAATGCAATTAAAAAAGAACTTTCATACTGGGGCAGGCTGCAAGAAAATTCTCTGAAATGAGAACATTTATGCTAATAGCAATCCATCTTGGCTGTAACTTTCTATTACTCATATAATGGAAGAATTTTCTGCTTCAGTATGAGGGTTTTTTCCTTATTAGTCCAGTTTCTGCTGGATCTTAAGAGTTTTGCTCATTTGCTTGGCAACTGAGCGATGCTGGAAATAAGCAAACACAGAAATGAGAACTCACTGCTAGTATGAAAGATGTAGAAAGAGGGATTTGACACAAACAAGCAACAAATTCTCAACTCTTTTTTTTTCAGCTTTAGAAAAGACATGGAAAAATCAGAATGTGTTATGGGTTCAGATGTGGCTGTCTTACATTCCCCGGACATAGTAAGGAAATTGAGTTTCTTTGACTGTTCCGTCTAGAGAAGGTAACCTGACATCCCACATTACAGCTCTTCATGTTAACATTTCTGAAGTGTTTAAGGAAGCAAACAGGAAAATTCATTACACTAAACCACTATAGTATGCCTTTGACATAAAACAGCCTCCTCCCTCATTTAAAAGTTCTTCTGTTATCCTGGTGTGACCCACATTTCTGTAACATCTTTGTTCCACATCCTTTTATTATATGTTTGTCTCAAAATCAATCCTTTGCTGCCAAACATTCTCTTTGATTGATGAAGAAGTGTGCAACATGAACTCCACGCACCCCGCCTCTTCCCATATTTGTTCCCATTGTTCTAAGATCTCTTTTAAGACTGCTGAAATGTGAAAATTCATTTTGGGGACCTCTGGCAAAAAAAACATTGTCCTCTTTGAAATTCTTAATTTTCTACTCCACCTCCTTCTTAAGGAAACTTAGAAGAAATAACTCCAATTGTCACAGAGTTAACCCAAATTAATCTGCTTCTCCCATGCTGATATCCTTTCAGGGTACCAGTCCTTATTTTCCCCTCCCCATATTCTGCTTTTCAAAGAACAATGGCGCAAGAAACAAAAGGGACCACAGCAGCAAGAGTTGGAGAAATGGGCTATAAGACAAAACTGTTCCCCAGGAATTGCACCAGCAACCATTGAATTGTGAGAATTTTACTGGGGGTAATACAAACCACTAATAAGCAGCAGCAGCAGCAAATGGAACTCAGAGTCTCTGGTGTTAGTTCTCAACAGATTAAATGTATCATGCTGGGAATCTGGATGTAGTAAATCATCAGTTGTTACAGACATAAATTGCCAAGGTAGCAATGGTTCCCATAACTGTAGAAGGATTTCAATAATTAGGTTTAATATTTGATATTGGGAGAAAATATGGCATCTTCAGGCCCAGCCTTTGTCAGCATAAAGGCAGACAAGCTTTACGGAAATGTACGCTTTGATGAACTACATTCCTGGATGTTCTTCTGGCAGAAGAAAGATTACTGCTTGAGATTTTATACAAGTGCTATACGTCCAGGATGAGTAAAGCACTGAATTTTCTTTCTTCATGGGTTTTATCCCAGAATTGAAACACCAGCATCCCTACAAATATTTTTTCCCTGGAAACAACAAATTTTGACATTTCTGAGCTAAATGATAGCCTTCTTCCTAGAGACTCAGCTGATGAATATATCCCATTCTGGAACACCTCAAAAACATTCACATAAAAAGCTATAATGTGACATGGCAGGCCCCCTCTCTAGACAGAACAGTCAAAGAAACTCAATTTCCTTACTGTGTTCTAAGAAGTAAGACAGCCACATCTGACTCCATAACACATTCTGATTTTTTCAAGTCTTTCTAAAGCAAAAAAAAAAAAAAAAAATTCCCACCTTTCCTTCATCATATTTATGGTTATGCATCCAGTCATAGTTTGAGAAGAAAAATAATTGTTATTCCAGTTTCCTCCTTATTCTTTGCTCCACTGGCCTTTGACAAACACCTAACCCATTACAGTTATTATCTTACTAAATTTCAATGTCCTTCTGCCTTTCACTTGGGATATTTTTGGGGGAAAACTTTTGGGTTTAGAACTACATAAATAAAAAGCTTCTAATTCAGTTTATAGGACAAAGTTCTTCTTGCATATCTAGGTCAATACAAAGACTGTGTTGGGAGACTTAGAAAACATAAAACATAGCTTAGAGTATTTTCTGGCTTCTGTACAACTGAATATTAAGAACTCACTATGACCTTCCAAACAGCTCTGTAATACACACAAGTTAAACCAGCCAGGAAACAAAAAAAAAATTACTTCACAAATAAAAAAGTCCAAACACATTCACTTGAGAATTATTTTAAGAAAATACTTTACCAAGTTGAGGTCACTCTGAGAAGCATGGTGTCCAGTCTCTGAGCAGCACATGGGAGATTCAGACACATGGGATTCATTCCCTGAATTCAACAGAAAAAACGTGTCTCCAAGAAAACAGTCATCATGCTGAGGGTGCAAAGTGCTTCTGGCAAAGGGGTTAGGGTGACAACACCACTCTTCAACTAAATCACTCCAGTTGTCACTCGGTAGAGGAAGAACTCTAAGAAATTTCCTAAGAGGGAACAAGAAACAAATATTTCAATATATTATAATTATTTTCTAAGACACTAAAAGAGAGCTTAGACTCCTTACAAAAAGGGGGAGGGGGGAAAAGTACGGCATTTTCTCAAAAGGAAATACTTGACTCTCTTTTCAGTCAAAGGCACTTTCTTTGGGTGAATTCAGAGAAAGCCATGGCTGAGTGCTTCCTGCCAAGTTTCTGATAAAACATTTCCCAGGAGTGAATCTCCAGTGATTATAAGGCAGAATTTGGTATATTCCTATCTTGAAATGAATCATATGTCAAAAAATAAAACAGTTCTACCCAGTCATGAAAAATACAGCAATGGGCATTTTGCAACTACACTTGTAAAGTTCTCTTGCACCAAATGTTGATATAAAACCTACAGAAAAAGACTCATGCCACAGCAAGATTCAGCATGTACTTTGAAGCCCTTCAGAGTCAGATACCAGACTTTGAAAAAGGTAAATCCTGACAAAAATACAACAATACATCTTCATTAAAAAAAACCAGAAACAAACAAAACAACAAACAAAGGATAATGCTCTCTGCCTAGTTTCCTTAAATGCTTTCCTTTTGTTCCCCTATTTATTCTGCTGTCTCCTGAAACCTTTACATAGAGTTTCTTGATTCTACTCCTTACTTTAAACTTGCAAATATGGCTCTGTTTTGTGGTACTGCTCTGCAAATAAAAATACAGCTGCTAAGCCAACAGTTAGACATCCTCTCTTTCTTGCAGTTCCCAAACTCATCTTTTCTGAGGATGTCAATTCTTCCCATTGTAGTTTCTTGTCCCTTTTGAATTGTTCAATCAGTGAATGTAAAATCTTTTATCAAAAAATCCTTCTTTCCAGATCGACAATACACTATAAACTGTGTTTGCCCCACCTGCAGATGAAAGTTGGAATGACTCATCCTCTGACCCAGCTTTACCGTAACAAAGATAACCTCTCAGCACTACCCATCTCTGTCTTCATTTTCTGTGCTTTTATGTATTGCCTGAGATATAACCCAATACTGCCAAGGTGAGACTTTAATTCTGGTATCAGCCTGATGACTCATTCTTCACCAGCCTTCACAATTAGTACCAATGCCTGGACTCACACTGTAAGTAAAACACTATTCATTGCTCTTTACATTAAAGAACAGATAGCTGGTATTGCTCACCAACATTTTTATATGTTACATACAGGAGAAGAAAAAGCCAGAGATTACCTTAAGCTGCATACTAAAGCTGTCCTGATTCATTACAACACCCTTTCTTTACTCTCACAGTCTAGAGCACCAGGATCTTCACTTCTTTTCCAACAAAAGCAGTTGCTCCAACCGGTAGGAATTTCCTAAACAGACTTTCTTAACTTAAGCTATACCAAAACCACAGCATTTCCATTACATTTTAGGCTTTCACCACTCATAGGTAGGAAGCCATATCCTGGATCACCAGAACTGGAAAAATGTAACACTAATGAAAATGTAGTTTTCTGGAAAAACAAACAAACAAAACCAACTTGAGGTTCACTGAGTGCTGACTAAATTGAGGCTGCTAAACATAGTGATAAAACCTAGCAGACAGGAGGACTTATCTCCCCCAGCTTGCTCCTAATAAAAACAGATTCTATTTGAAAATAGTCACCTAAGCTGCCTTCATGGTCAGAGCAACAAACAATTTTTAGGTTGGGAACTTTCCCCTGTCCAGCTGAGGAGGGGAGTAACAGAGCAGCTTTGATGGACACCTGGCATCCACCCACCTCAGACCTTTAAGAATTTCTTCATGACAGAAACGAAGCCATAAAGATTTACTTTACATATAAGCTATACTTAGCCCACCTGGAAGGAGAGAAAGAAAAATGAAAGCATCCCAAATTCTTTGCAGCTCTTACATTGTGGAAGAAAAAAAAAAAAATAATCACTTCCTCCAACGTAGATAACGTGGAAGTAATGGAGAAGAACCAGAGAACATCCCCCTAACCTCTGAAGAGCAACCAGATTCAAAGGAAACAAACTCAACCAGAGCATTTCAGAAAACGTAAAGTCAATTTTCTTTCACCAAGGAAGGTTTACTTACATTTAAACCATTCCTAATATATTTCTCTAATCCAACCTTTAAAATGATAGCTGCTTATGCAGTCTTTAACAGTAAAACATAAGTTTTAGAATAGGTTTGTGGCAGGTTCCGTTTTTTTTTTTCATTTTTAAGCTGAATTGCTCTTGCCTCCGCTGAAGACTACTGACATCTTCTTTGCATTAACTTCTTAGATACTGGAAGAGTCTTATGTCTTCTCCATAACTTAATCTAAACTAAATCCCATTTATTTCTATTCAATTTATTCTCAAAGATATAATTTTCTAGATCTCGGGTTTTTCTTATTACAGACCCTTTCCTGGTAATTCACACTTTAATAAGTTCTACTTCACACAGTCATGTAATTTCAATCCCTCCACCTGTGCTTCTACTTTCATACTTCAGTCTCCCCAAAGAGATGAACACATGAATTCTGCAGCTGAAAGTTCTGACTATGCTACTCTCTTCCTTTTGGAAATGCTGGGACAGAAGGTGTTGGATACACTGGCAGCTCCACTCTTCTACCCTTGTCTTAGCCTTTTTTTAATAGCAACATTCAAGGGGCTCAGAGGGTCCCTGCAAGAAGAAATGACAAGTAACGAGCCATGAACATGTCGGGTTTTTTTCCTTTCTCAAAAGTTCTGCTTGCATTATGTTATAGGATTCAGAACCAAAAGATTTAAACTCCATGCATATGAATTTGATGTGCTGAAATTCAGAAAAACATCCACTGAGAAATGAAAATATAAAAGTGCAGTATGTTTTGAAAGCAAATGCTACTGACTAGAAATTAGAATTTTCATTACTCCGTAAATGTGTCAAAATAAGTGTTATTACTAGATTTTCTGATGAGACATTTCAGAAGAGAAAGCCAAAAAATCCTCATTCAGTTACATTCAGGCTAGCCATAAGCCCATACATATGACAAGAAAGTAACAGGAGTTTACAGAATGTAACACATTTGTATTATCATTTTCAGTATTAGAAGTCACACAGATCACAAAAGGCTGTAAGCACATCTCTAACTCTTTTTATATATACAGCTGAAGTTGTCAAAATTGTTCATCAAAAGAGCCAGATAATGCAGCAGCTTTTTACTGAAATTCTCATTCACTTTTCAGACTTTGTAAAGAACAGAGCTAAGGCTAAGTCACACCTCTAAGACAGAGCTCCTGTGTTTTCCAAATTCAGCACCCCAGAACTGTGTGGAAGTAAGCTTTGTTAACAGACAGAGAGGAGCTGTGGCCAACATCCCCGTTCTGAGCAGCCACTCTATAATTACAGTACAGTGACTGAAGGAAATTTACAAGACACTGAGAAGAAGAGGATGCCTGAAGTGCAGAGGAAGAAAGAAAGGAAGAATTAAATGAATGGTCAAAAACTGCTTCAGGTAATTTTGCTTTCTGTCATTCATAGTGCTTCAAATGTGTTCTTGTCTATCATTGTCAAAATAAATAACCTTTAGGATTCTCTAAGTAGACAAAATAACGTGAATACGAATCACTATGGCATTTATTGCTATAAATACAAGCCACTGCAGTACTCACCGGTCTTTTACTATGATGTCACCACAGGACTGACAGTAAAAGATGTATTTCTTGTGGGGTTTCAGGCTTTCCCTCAAAGTAAAAGCCAAATCTATTAATAGAACCAAACATAAAAATCTTCAAAATTGTGTAAAATTTTCAGTCACTTGTACAGAAAAATCCTACCAAATACCTCAAACCAAGAAAGATAAATCTAACAAACAATGCAAGATGCTGACATTTTAAACACACCCTTAATTTATTTACCTGTAGAAACAAGTATTTAGATTGAGGAAAAGCTTGCCATCTCCACCTCATGCTCCAAATTGCTGAATAGGAACTGTATATGCGAACAATAATTTTCAAGGTGCAAATCCTCTCCACAGGGGGAGTTGAGATATAGATATCATTAGAGAGATTGTGTTAATCAAAATTCAATACCACTCTTTTGTAGTGATATTTCTGATACTCAGTGTCGCTGCAGTATGAGGATACACTCCAATACATAACACAAAATAGTCAGGACAGGGAGCAGAGGGAGGCACCAGTTTTAAATTTTCAGGTATATAAGAGGCCAGCCACTGTGGTACCACTCAAGGAAAAGATAGTGAGCAACGGCCTCTGCAGGCCAGCAGAGCAAGAACAGTCTCCCAAAAGCCTGCTCAGACAACTTTTCCAAATTAAAAAAGAAGCTATAAAAGCCTCCACGAATTATCCAACAATATTAAGCAGAAGAAAAGTGAGACTTTAAACCGAGCTCTATGTATGAATATGCTCTCCGTCGCCCACTTTCTCAAATACTGGCATTTGGTATTTAAAATTTAGGATTCAACTACAAGAGAAAAGTACTTTAAAAGGTTCCAGAATTTCATGTAAGAGACAACTAGTTTTGCATCATAATATAAAACTTTAAAGGCTAAGTAAGATTTTCCAATATATGCTTTGATTACCACACATTTTTCAGTAGTATGAATTCACAAGGTAAATTTTTAAAACTTCATCCCTGGTCTCCTCAAGAATGTCTCACACCAAATAATTTTAGTATAATCAAATTTTCAAACCATATGCATAATTGGAGATTAACGTACAGATGCAACCTCAGCACATCCTAAAATCAACAGAGCATTCCAATGTGTTTCTGGTGCTGAAATCATTACTGTATATCACACACTTTATTGGTAATTTCTACTTTAAAACCACAGAATGGCAATTTTGCGTTATTTAATATATCTTTATGTCACATCCTATGCCATGAATCTAAACATACTGAGCTTTGATGCCAGGACGAAAGCAAGTATCAGCTGTACTACCATGCTTTCTATTTATTGCAAAGACATCCTAGACTTGAATGAGCATCATGGAAGTAAAGAAGGTAACCTTGCAGATTTTACCTGTGACATTAATCTATGCAAACACTGGCTGTGAGAACAAAGAGCCCAAACACAGACCCACAATCCTTTATGATTAAAAGGTCAGAGACAGACAACCTTAGTCTGACAGCCAGGATGAATCAGATTATGGCATTTTTGTAGTGATAGGACAAGGAGTAATGGGTACAAATTGAAAGAGGGAAAATGTATGTTAGATATTAAGTAAGAATTCTTTACTGTGAGACACCCAGAAGAGGTTGCCCAGGATGGATGCCCCCTTCCTGGAAGTGTTCAAGGCCAGGTTGGATGAAGCCTTGAGCAACCTGGTCTAGTGAGAGGTGTCTCTGCCCATGGCAAGGGGAGGCTGGGACTAGATGATCTTTCAGATCTCTTCCAACCCCTTAACATTCTATGATTTTCAGCTACTAAACATGAAACAGGAGAAAAAGGAAACAATTTGGAAGTACTACGGGGAAGCGCAGGGGGAGGGAGTGAGAGCAGCTCTCAAAACTCCCACACTCCGCGTTTCCCTTTCGTTACGTCATTCTAATTGCACTCCAACATTTTAAAAGTAACAACTCCGTTAAAATTTCCTCAGTTCCTATTTACACCTTAATTTCAGAGCTAAGACAGCCTTCGAGAAACAGCAACAACACACACTCAATGCGAACCACCGGCTTCAGGTTGAGGGGGGGGGCTGACAAGCCGAGAGGGGAGTGTTGGGGGTATTTTGTCTATTGAATCTACACTTCAAAGCTCCTCAGCTGAAGCCGCGGTGTCTCACAACCCCTCTCCCACATTTTTGAGGGCCGGCCCCAGCCGTGCCCCTGCCCCGCCCTCACCGGCGGGGGGCGGCGGGCGGCGCATGCGCACGCGCAGGTGCAGCCCGTCCCCGGGGAGGCGGTGCAGCCCACGGCACGAGGACGGCGCCAGGCTGACCCCTGGCGGCAGCGCCGCCGCAGCGCAGCTCCCGCCGCTCCGCGCTTCCAGGGAATCCGCCGACAGCGACACCTCCACCGGCGCGCCTGCATCCTCCGCCGCCGCGCTGGAGAGGAAAAGGAACGGCTTGTGCCTCGGGAAGGGGCCATCAGGCCGAGCTGCTGCTTGAGACAGGCCGGCCTACAGCTCTCCCGCGGCAAGAGTCGCGCCCCGGAACCCACGCGGTGAACCGGGGGCGACCGAGTGGAATAAATCGCCGTTCTCAGGAAGCATTTATTTGCACACTAGCCTGGACTGTGCCGAGCCGCACAGGCAGACGAGAGCGGGGGGAGGCGCCCCATGGTACACAACCCGTTCCCCCCCGTTCAAGGCTCAGGATGCCAAAAGCCAAGCCCGCCGCCCCCGCGCCGCGCCCCCGCGCCGCGCCCCCGCCTGCCCCGCACGGCCCGAGCAGCGACGGGCGGGCAGCGTCCCCGCACTACCGGATAACCAGCAACGCGCTCTGCGTCCCCCGCCTGATCTCCATCAGGAACCCTCCCTCCATGCCGGCACCGCGCAGGAAGCAGCCACTCTCCCGCCCGCGGCCGGCGCAGGCGCGGGGCAATCCCGCCCGTCACAGCGCCGCCTGCGTGGAGTCATCGTAGAGCCGTGGGATCAGGGAATCGTCAGTGTTGGAAGAGACCTTTAAGATCGTCTAGTCCAAACGTCCTCCCAGCACTACCACTGTAATCCCTACACCACTAAACCGTCTCGCTTGTTCGCGAAGCCTAGCCATGATGATGAAACCGTCTCGCCAGAGGCACATCCAGACGCCTCTTAAACAATCCTAGGGATGGTAACTCCACCACCTCCCTGGGCAATCTGTTCCGGTAGCTTGCCACACTAACGCAAAAAAAATTTTTTTTAAGATCTAATCTGGATCTCACCTGTCTCGGCTTAAGGGCATTTCCTCTTCTCCTTTTACTGAAAGCACACTAGAAGAGACCTGCCTACACAACCTCCTTTCAGGTAGTTGTGGACAGCAACGAGGTGCCCCCTGAGCCTCCTCAAGACTAAACAAACCCAAGTCCCTCAGCCGTTCCTCATAAGACATGTTTTCCAGACCCCTCACTATCCTTGTTGCCCTTCTTTGGACACGCTCCAGTACCTCCATGTCCTTTTTTAAGTGAGGGGCCCAAAGCTGGATGTTGTACTCGAGGTGCAGCCTCGCAAGTGCCGAGTACAGGGGGATGATCACTTCCCTAGTACTGCTAGTTACATCTGAGCATACTGCTGGATCATATTGAGCCGCCTGTCAACCAGCACCCCTAAGTCGCTTTCTGCTAAACAGCTATTGCAAAACTGTTTGCACACTGCCAAGACCTCCTTGGTGTCTCCCTCTGAACCCCCCAGTAAGCAGGCTGGTGGTGGGCAAGAGGCTGTGGCAGGGAAAAGGTAGGACAGCTGACTTGAATTGACCAGAGTGATATTCCGTAGCATGTAATGTCATGCTTGGCAGTCAAAACTGGAGTATAATCTTTCCAAAGTGGCAATTGCTCAGAGACTGGCTGGGCATCATCGCTCTAGTTGTGGGAGGTGGTGAGCGATTGTCTGTATATTTGGTTGTTTTTGTTTGGTTTTTTGGTTTGGTTGGTTTGGGGGGGTTGTGTTTTTTGTTTTGGTTTGTTTTTTTTAACTCTGTTCTTCACTTACTAAGCCATCATTATCTCAATCCACAACTTTTCTTGCTTTTGCTCTTTTGGTTCTCCCCCTGTGCAGCAATGAGCTACCAGCGGGCTGGGGTCACCCCACCACACCTGCAAAGGTAAGACTTAGCAGAGGCCTCTGATGAGCCAGGGTCAGGCTCATCAGAGGGTCAGCACTGGAGACTGTATTCTGTGGTGTGTCACTGCACCACCACTTACCTCCTGCCTTGTGAACAAACCCCTCTCCACCCTTTCTTGCAACTTTACAAGTCTGCCTGAATTCTTCCCAATGCGTGTTCACACAGCTCTTGAATGCTGTCACTCATAACAACTGGACACTCAGCACAGGCAGCTGCTGCTCTGGGGTGAGGCTTCCTACTGCCTCTCATGAGGTCTTTCATCAAGAGATGATAAGCCTACCCTGACACCCCTGTGTAACTGTCCTTAGCTTATAAACACTGTCACCACTGCAGACTTCATCCAGCATGCCAGCTTCAAAGTATACAGGAAACTGATGATCAGTATTCAAGGACACTAAGGAAAGAAACTTTTGCTTTGAAACAAGGAGCCTTCCTGAATTGTTAATGAAAGTCACAAGACCTTCTGCAGTTGCAGTTAGTTGAAAACATGATCTGCAAAGCTTCAAGCAAAAAGGCAAATTTACACATGCTAATTTTATATCAATTTACTATATACTCTATATATAGAAGACATGTTTACTTTGAAGTATTCTTAGTCCTTGGAGTTATCACTACCAAATAGAAGAGTCCCAAAGAAGCACAGGGATCAAGGTTAGATTTTGTGGGGAAAATACTGCAGACAGTAGTCAACTGTCTCAACCAAGTTTTGTTGTTTTTTACAGAGCATGGATTTGTTGAAGTATTCTAAAATGCAGACTGTGCTGTCTACATGCTGTTCTGAGTGTGCTGTTTGGGGATTTTGCTGTTGTTTCCTTTTTTAAAGACCATGGTCCACCTGGTGGCTTTTATTTCCAATCACTTCACAAACTAATGTACATATTATAGATTAAATTGCTCTGAGCAAGTATGTCATACATCAAACATCAAATCCATGTAATTATTGGAGAATTGACTCCTAGGATTAGTAACACAGCCTTAGGCCCTGACTCCAGAAAGACTTACACAAGACTACAAAGTTATGAATAATCTGAAGTATTTGCAGGGTGTGAGCTTCATTTATGCAAAATTTATTACAGGTTTCTCACCATTTCTGCTGTAATTAATTACACAGAGAGGAAGGTAAATATCCTACAGAGCGAGTGCACCTAGCATTAGTGGTGCATCCAGAACATTATTCTGACTTCAGTGTAAGTAAAAGGAGATCCTAGTAAGGAAGAGCTCTGTAGTGTGGTCACTTCCTCAATGTCTCTCATTGTATTAGGGATGCTGGACCCTGCCTAATTCCTTCAGTGTCCACTTATGGATGTGTTTGTTATCAATATGAATAACCCTCCTTGGACCTATGGATACTGTCAAAGTCTCCACTCCCTGGTGCCAATACATTCTAGAAGTTCACAATCTGCTTAGCAAAAAAGCATTTTCTGTGCTTCCTCATTCTCATACTGTGGGATTTGGTTAACCACAACTTTGTTACCTTTCATGATTTTGTAGATTTTGATCAATCCTCTCCCCTGCCTTCTCTCTCTGCATTGAGCAGTCCCAGTTGTTATTGCTCTCGTTGTAAGATGACAGCGACATATCTCTGCTGTGTCTTTCTCAACTTCCCTACATCCCTCTTGAGCCATGAAGACAAGAACTGATGCAGTAATCAATCTGAGACTGTGCCAGCCTTTTATATAGCAGCCAAACAACTACCCCTGTGTTGTTCTCAATATTCTCCCCAGCAACGTAAAGTGTTTTGTGGGATTTTTTTTTTGTGCCACTGCACATAAAGTCGATGAGACAATTTCAAAGAACTGTTTGGAAGCTCTGAACTGGAACTGCCACTACTAAATTCAGCACAAGGGAAGCTTAGGAATCCAACCACCCTGCAGTGCAGCAGCATGTGAAAGCACGTGGTCAGCTATTGACAGTGCCTTCCTGTCAGTGATGTTCAGCACTGTTAAATCGCTCCAAAAGGACCACCAATCATAGTTACAGTTACATGTCAAATGCATTTGTAGGTCTGTTCAAAGAAAAATAAATTTAAATGTACCATTTTAATTAGAAATACATGACACGTAGAGTCATACTCAGTGCCTCAGAAAACCAGTGGGAATTGTCCAAAAAGTAACTGTTTCTCATCTACCAATTCCTGGTATAGCTGAATGAGAAAAGGAATAGCATTTCCTCTTTATTATTATCCCAAGTCTGGAGAGTAAAATTAGACTTCATAAAATGTTGGCTGACAAACATAAGTCACCAAGTAGAAGATTCATAAATATTATGAGATTTTCCCCTGCAATATTTTAGAAATACTTGTGCTCACACAAAGTGTAAAATATTTATCATGAAAGCTGGATGCACCTTATATTTTTTTGCAGATACTTAAGTAATTTATAAGCGTAAGAACTGTTTGCTATTATGAAGCCTGCTGAAATTTGAGATTTGCAATGATGACTTTGAAACTAACAAACTGCAGTCTAAGAACTGTACCCTTTATTGTGTGGAACTGGTCATTTAAAAATCACTCTTGCAGTAAAATATTCCTTCTGATAGAGTCCATGTGGGCACCCATACACCTTTGTGTATGGACTCAAGCATACAAATCCCAACAAATTTTAGAAAATTCCTAATATAACTACTGTAAACATAAGCATAGACATCCTGCAGAGGAGTTATCATAGCATCACAGACCAGTTTGAGTTGGAAGGGACCAAGTGCAGGTCAGCCTCTTCTTCCAGGCAAGTAATGACAGGATGAGAACACATAGTCTTTAGGTGCACCAGGGGAGGTTAAGTCTGGACATTAAGAGGAATTTCTTCATAGAAAGGGTGATTAGGCATTGGAATGGGCTGTCTGGGGAAGTGGTAGCGTCACTATCCCTGGAGGTGTCTAAAGAAAGACCGGACATGGCACTCAGTGCCATGGTCTATTGACAGGGTGGTCGGTCAAGGGCTGGACTCGATGATCTCATAGGTCTTTTCCAACCTAATTGATTCTGTGACCTTAAAGGTCATCTCGTTCACAATCCTCCTGCCATGTGCAGGGACACTTTCCACTAGACAAGGCTGCTCAGAGCCCCATCCAACCCGGCCTAGAACACTTCCAGGGATGGGACATCCACAGTTTCACCGGGTAACCTGTAGCATATTTTTAAATTACTACCTGCCTTCAATTTTTACCTGCACTGTATTTGGTAAGCTATGTGAAGATTAGGAAAAATAAATATACACCCATACCCGTATCCGTATCCATATCCACTCCCACAACCGCTCCGCGGCCGCCAGGGGGCGCAGCGCGGCGGCACAGCGCGGGGCGGGGCGGGGCGGGGCGCGGGGCACGCCGGGAGCTGTCAGGGCGGCGCGGGGGTGCCGCTGTCGGTCGGGCCCCTCCGGCTCGGGTCGCTCAGGTAACGCCGCTCCCGCCGCCCCCCCTCCCATCCCCGGTACGCGCGGGCTGCGGGCCCCGCCGCCTCCTGCTCTGCTCCCTCCGTGCCTCCCTGTCGCCGCGCCGGTGTCGGGGAGGGTCCGCCCCTGGAGCGGAGCCGGCCCTCTGCCCTGCCCTGCCCTGCTCTGCTCTGCTCTGCCCAGCTCTCCCCTGCTGTCCCCTCCTCTCTCCTGCTCTCTCCTCTGCTCTCCGCGGGCACCGCCGGGCCGTGCTGGGCAGTGCGCGAGGGGCAGCGCCGAGCAGCCTGGGGGCAGCGGTTGTACCTGTTAATTGCGCCGCATCAATTAACCTGTAGCACC